ACAGTGTGTTCACACGCACGTACACTGGTGAATTCATCCGTGGACTGAATAGCTGGAGGGTGCAAACTGTACAAATGTTGCACAAATATGACACTACAGTGCCAGGGGAGTTGAGTGTTTTGCCTGCTGTCTGCAGATGTATAGTGCCCCACGTCTATTTCTCATTTGTGACAACCACAACTGGAGATGTAGTAGAGCTTCAGCTGATTTAAAGTGACAGGTACACAAGGCCACCTTATCCATCACTGGGGAGTGGTCGGCATTCCCTGACTCCCAAATTGCTGCCCTATTTGCAGTCCCTGCTCCCACCACAACCCCACCTATAACGAGATGATCTATAGCGCGCCAACAAACCCCAACAAAGGTGTCAGATTGCCAGGACAAATAGGCAACAACAGACTTAAGGGCAGGAGGTAATCTTTCTCACATGCTTCAAAGGCGTGGTGCAAGGGAATTCATTTTATTGTGCCCATGAGCTAGTATACAAACTGTACCCCTGTTTTCGTATTTTATTTCTGTCCTCTCTCAGAGCATCTTCCCTCCTTCTCTCACTCCTGTATTTGGACTAAGAATCAAAAATTGCAAAAGTGAATGTCTGTTTAGATTTTTTTTTTTTGCTGTGAGTGAGAAAGGGAAACGGTTTCCTCCCCCCTAGCTAACACGTCCAAGCAGCAGAAGATAGTGGCGTTATTTTAGAAAGCTTCACACCGCTTATTAACTTGCGTCTTACCTTGCTTAGCTGACTGACCGGTGAGCCACTGTTGTTGACAGTGTGGCATTTGAAGCTGAGCAACGATTCCCCCACGGCATCACGCTCTCTGCTCATGTCCTTATCAGAGTGGGAGTGGCTGTCAGGACGGGGTGAGGCGGCAGCTGAGGGGGGCTGTCGAAGGGCTGTGCAGCACAAACCGTGGAAGTTTGACGGACGGATCAGAAAGGCCTCCAGAGCTATGTTAGCAGATACCTAAGATGAGCATCCCGGGATTTAGGAGCGGGGAGAGAGAGGTAAGGGTAGGAGAGCGGCGAGGGGAGGAAAGACAATTTCAGATTTTTTTAATTTAGCCAATGCTTTTATCCCCAATGACAATGGGGAGGGAAAAATAGAAGAGGAAACCAAGAAAGGAAGCAAATTATCTTTAGCTTGCTTTGTTTTCACTATCTACTTAAGCCAAATTGACTTCTCATTATTCTAAACCACGAGAAAAAAGTGAAAGCTTTGCGTCATTTAGCGCGATAAGCAACCCTTGCCCTGAGTGTGGCCTTGAGTGTGAGTAATTTATTTTGTAGTCCAGCTATACCTTAGAAATGGCCTGATTGTCTCCGGTCAGCGCCAGGTCAGCAATTCGCTCCACACACTGGACGATTCGAGTGCACGCCCTGGCCTCATTCTGTGCCATCCACAGGATATGCTCCTCCACCAGCATCATGTTGCTGGCAATGTCTGATATATAGTCCCCCAGCTGAGGAAGCACAAGCAGACGTTTATGCAAATGTTTGCTCGCGCACACTAACACAAACTGCACTGTGCGTGTACAGCACACACACACGCACACATGCAAGGAAGAAGCAGACTCATCATGCACATCAATCATAGAACAACAGGCACATTTGTAATCTGCAGTCAGGATTGTGAGGGAGGCAATGGTGGCTTCATTCATTACAGGGAGATTTAATTTAGATTAGGAGCTCCAATGGGGCATAATTGCTTCCTTAGGATGGCAGTTCGCTATTTACTTACTGTACTTTTTATTGTTGCTTCATTGGGCTGTTCTTTATTCCGTGAATGAGGGTGGTCTCGTCACCATTGTCTTAGGAATGATAAAACTCCTAGTATCTCCTAATAATATGTCCTCCCGAGTGACCTGTGTTGAATAATTGCACAAGTGAGAGCTAATATTGATTCTTTTCACTGACTAAGCCCAGCACCGTTCCCCCTCGCACAACCTGACCTTCAGTGTGATGCCAGTATAACAATCCCATTGCCTCTACTGAAGAAATTCACTCAGGGTGAAAACATGACTCGCCCAAACACGAGATGCATCTTAACAATGATTCCCATTCGGGTTCAGTGCCACAATGGCCAGTGGGATATTATATGAGGTGAGAAACATGTTACTGTGTCTTATAAGGAAGCTTCTGTGGTTTCTTGTTGGGATCTGGTGAGCAGTGGTTGTGCAGACGTTCATCAGTTATGTGGTCCTAATCGCTAGTTGCAAGTCTTAATAAATACATATTCAATTAGTAAATCATGGTCCCTGTTAGAGTCAAAAAGTTTGATAACGTAGGGTATCTTTAGAGAAGGCCTGCACTGTGATCGACAAGTCACTGACATTTCTTGGTTTTTCGGTGTTTCAGTCATATTGCTTGTCTAGTGCAAGAGCAACTAACTGATGGGTAATGTGATATGGTGTGGTCTTTAGGGTAACCTCTAGATGAGCATTAAACAAAACCTTATTCTTTCTTAGGGTGATGGAAAAATGAATGAATGAACATGTGCACAAGTCAGAATAGAAACTGCAATTAGAACTATTGTCTAAGGCTGTCTCGGGCGACCTTGACAAATTCAACCCTGATTTATAACAACAAACAAAATACCTTCCTCTTTAGGCCTAATAGCTGCTGTCTAATTGTCAGTGTAGACAAGAATAGCACATTGCAGGTATTATATGTTTTGCAGGGTTCCCCTCCTACTGTCCTGAATTCCCAGAAAAGTTACTTAGCAAATCAAGTCCCTCTTCTGACAGTTAGACGAGCTGATGGCATAAGCTGGCTGGGAGTGAAACGGGTCAGATATTACAATGGAGACCTAGAAACAACATGTGTTTTCACTTTTAATAAACACTGTTTGACAAGAGTAGGACTAGCTGTTTTAAGCTAAATAACTGTCATTAAGGCCCTAGTGACTGCAGTCTAAAGACCCCCTTTAGCAGTCCGGCAACCACCATTTGCCAAGGAAAAATGTGTATTCCCAAAACCAGTTGGTGAGTGGTTGCAGGAGGTTGCTTGCAGTCATTCACATTGGTTGCAAAGACGTACAGGTTATTCCAGGGAAAACCTTGTAATTGCTTTTACAGTTCATTTACACAGACTTAGGGGTTTGATTCTGTTTAATTCAATTGTAAAATATTGGGATGATACCACTATAAATGCATTGGATGTAGTATATTTCTGTGCTTCCTCTTACATCTTTATGTTTCTCCACTAGCCTCGTTAGTCTCTCCACCAGGTGGGTGACATAAATGACATCCATGACATCGGTGAAGTGCGCCGCCCTGCTGGTGAAGGCCACTAACTGCTGTCCAAAAGGCTGAGCGTTGGTCGTATTAATAGGTATCTGGAAGAGAAATCAATATATTGTGTAGTAAGCAACAATTTTCAGAGAGGACAAACATGACGGCTTGTTATAATAATTCCACAAAAACATTGCACAGTTGATAAGATGAATAAAATGAATAAAAAATTTCAAGAATTTGTGTAGTTTTGCAAACTTTGTCACTTTAATGCAGGAATTCTTTGAGCAGGAGTAGACTAAAACAGCTTGCATATAAATGTTTCATATACAGATCTGGAAATACCTGCAGGCTACAGGTGAATCAAAGCAACTGGTAGTTTTCAGGGAATATGAACTTGAAATCTTGCTGTTAAGAGTAAGCTGGGAAATTTCTAAATAAGGATTGATGGACAATTTTAAAAAAAAAGAAACAGAATCCATAAATGAATCCTGTTTCCCAGCAGTTCTCGGCTCTAGTTCTACACTAATGCTGATACCTGGGTGAGCTCATGCAGCACACGGGTCAGTTCACTGGCATAAGGGCACTGAGTATAGTCCTCCTCAGCCCACCGCCCAGCACGGTCGCAACGTCGCCACGCCTTCTTTTCTGCCCGGCTCGAGGGGTGAGGAGCGCTGCCAGATGGGTGAGGGGCAGAGCCAAAGGTGGCAGGAGCACAGGGTAGGAAGGCCAGGATGCCAGCCAGCGTCTTTGGCCACCTGCCAAAAAAATATCAGAAATATCAGGATCTACACAAACGGCACCAGATGGCAATTTCATACTCCCTGTACTTAGGAAAGTATTAATTTGCATAAATGATTTACAGCTAGGCTTAATTATTTTGCAGATGACTCCCAGATTCTTGACTGTGAAACATGCGTCTGTCTTATTAACGACTTCTGAATTAATTTTATTTACTAACTTTATAAATGAAGTTTATTGTCTGTTCACTTGGTGCAGTAAAAATTTTTTTTTTGTTAATCACAAAAGACATTTAAAGGTGTTGATGTCTTCTCCCCTCTGCTTGTGATGGTTTCCTCTGGCTTTATCCCACATTTGAGTATCCAAAGACGTCCACTTTTACCTCCTGTGGCTCCAGATGTGTGAAAAAATAACTTGTGTGATGTCGTCACAGTTATTTTTGGTATTTTTAGTTTCTTGCAGGCACAACAGAATAAATACTCTCAAGGTGATCTTCGGAAAAGCTGGCTTTGTGGAGTGGCACAGCTTGACCCATACGAGGGCCTGAAAGCCAGGATACCTCATCCTCTACTCTGTTCTGAATTGTTTGTAACTTCCACAGCATATTGAAAGAGTGTTACAAAATCGCCTGCGTACCCCATTTAAACATGCACCACGGTGGCAGATGGAGAATGTCAGTGAAGGATTTATATTTCAAGCAGAAACCTGCTCTTGCCTGTTACTCCTAAAGGGAAATTCAAATTAAGTGTTGTTCTTACGGTAATACAAAGTTCACTGAAGACTCCTCTGGAGCAAGAAATGAGACTTTCTCAATAATGTCATCAAGAACCAAGTCCTGGAGCTGCTCTACTGACCAACCTATGATAGGGGCTAGTGTGATTTTACAGTCAAATGGATCATTTCCATTTTCTGGGTAATGCCTGTTAGTGTTTCAATAAAATAAAGCTCATTAGGGTGTAAAAAGGCAGCCAAACATTCACAGTCTAGGACACTAGCCTGTATTTCGCAGATAACAAAAGAACTCCGGGTTTTGTTACTTGGCATCACGGTATATTAAAGGTCTGTGTTTCTGTAGCCTTAGGACAGAGCGGTTTGTGTTCTCACATGTTGATCAATTTGTCAACAATCAAAGAAGGAGCATGTGTCTCATGTTCGTGGTTTTATGCTAGAGGCAGCATCACATTGTACTTCAGAAAATAAGCTGAAAAAATGTTTAATGTGAAAACGAACGCTTTTGACTTCATCAAAATTAAAATAAAGGAGCAGTGCTCTCAGGAGGCTAGTAATCTGTTCTGAGGGTAGAGACCTGCCATCGCACTACTCCCCACCCCACTCTCTTTACCCCCACCTCTAATCATCCACATTGCTGCTGCTGCAGCAGCTACTTAGTAATAAATGGCATTAATTTCGCCCCCAACAAAAAAGGGGGCTCATTTTCCAGCCCATTACTCCAATGCTCCAGCAGAAACAAAGCCTCTGTGCTTGCTGCACTAGAAGTGGGCTGTAAAGTACGGCAGCTACAAAAGAGTGTACACGACAACTGCACACCCACAAGGGAAGAGAGGTGGAGGGTGTGCGTGCATGTATGTTAACAAATGCAGTTTTAACGTGGTTACATGGAGTCGAGGACAGCGAAAATGGAGTGCACAGTAGATGTGTGGCGTTTTTCTTCGGTCTATGTGAGACTTTAGTTATTCATCTTGTTCTCTGTAGTCATGATATAAATCTGGACTACAATGAGCCATAATGTGTGTAGGAGTTTTTCTATCGCACATAATAATTATTATTAAATAATATCAACTGTCCAGACTCTGCTGTACTAGTGAGCCAAACTTAGAGGAAGGCACACCAGTTGTAAGATGAAACGAAAAGCAGCACGACACTACCTAAAACCAGACTTAAGTACCTTGACTGGGCGCTCTATAGAGGGATAGCAACAGAGTGAGTTAGTTCTGTGATTAGAGTATTAATTTTTATAACATGCTACTTTATAAATATTTCTTGTGAAATAAATAATAGTGGGGTTAAACTATTGCTTTATATATCAGGAGACTTCCTGGTTTCAGCTTTGAAAACCAGTCCATTGATGCCAAGCACAAGACCAAAGTACATTGTACAGGCAGATTGAAGGAAATTGTTTATTTACATAATATTTACTAGAACTTTTATTATTTATTTATTGATCAATGGTCTTTGATCAATGATCAGTGGTTGTTGATCAATGGTCATGACAATTTTCATATTGCTGATCAAGAAACTGACCTCACAGCCCATTGTTCATTCAGTGTACTGGTTTCAGTTATTGTGCAATGTACTGGGGAAGGCTGGGGAAACCTGCAGTCAGCTGAGACTCCAGAAGTCACTTGGATGAGTGACGAAACGTTTCTCCCACTGAAAACGCTATACGTCCAGATGAAAAGAATCAACCTTTGGGACTAACCTAGCTAGGTTAACAGTTAATAGAACTGCAAAAGCTGGTTAAGCTATAGATTATAGGTTATTGAATGAATGGTGGGAACTCTTGCTCATACCAATGATAACAAAATTCAGCTAGTGGGTTATGAAGGGTGTATTTTAACACAAAACACAATTCTTTACCTAACCAGTTTTGTCCCTAGATATAGGCAAAAGCAAGTGATGCAAGTAAAAATTAATGTGGGAAAAGCAGATGTTCTGGACAGCAGTCTTCTGGTTGCAGGTAAGTGCCTCCAGATACAGATATTGCTGGGGTTCATTTTTCCTCCTCACATGAGAAACATACATCGAAGGGGTATCTGCATGTGTCAGAATATGTTGGTGATGGGTTATGAGAAGAAGTGGTTCCTGACCAAGCCACAACTGCACAAACACATGAAATGTACCAGGTTTCTTATCCAACTCTCAAAAATACATTTACTATTATTTTAGGACCTTTTTTTCCAAATCACCCTGTATAATAAAACTGAAAAACTAATCTGCCATTGTCTGTGGCTGCAAGGTCACTCACCTGAAGTCCCCCTTGTTGTTGGTGACTCTGTCAGCAGGGCAGTATGATGCTGACGTTTCCAGAACCACGATTTCCATTTGCTGAGAAGTGTTGCCACGGGAACTGCTCACCAGGCACTCCCAGATTCCAGCAATGGGCACATCGATGCTGGAGAGAATAACCTCGCTGGAGGAAGAGAGAAGACACGTAAAACTATGAAAATGTGTTTTTAAAATGACATATCCATGAGGGGGTTGTGTCAGTGAACCTCTTCCTATGAGATTTAGGAGAAGTTCGAAGTACCGAATTAGAGCCTAGTCGTACATTTGGGGTTAAATGTAGTTTTAGGATTAGTTTTCTCTCGCGGCTTGATTTTAGGGTGCTTTGAATTATTTTTGGATTAGACTAAGGATTAAAGTCAGTCAAAAGGCATAAAGAGTTAAGGTCATCTTAAGACGTCTGTAGTCTGTAGAGTGCAAAGATGTGTGTGCGCTTGCGTGGTTCACCCGATCTAATTCATTCAAGGGACCTTTGTCCATATACAAGTATGTGGTAGCTTAAAACGTTGGCTGCGACTTAAGATGATCATTACTCATGCTTATCTTTCCTACTTTGTCACAGCGATTCCTATCTCAATGGAAAATGCCTGATTAAACAAAGAATGGTGAAATGGTGACAAAGAGCCAATGCAGGGCCATTTGCCAACGCGACTAATCTTGAGGATTTTACTCGTTATAAAAAAAACAGAAAAGCCGCTGGAGATGGCTAAGCAACGGGAATAATCACCATGGAAATTCTACCTCCTTAAGAAATGCCAACTGTTTTATTTTCAAATACAATCCAGTTGTAGTCAAATATACACTTTGCTTTGTGTCTGTGTAAAAACCTAATGCCTTTTTTGTGTGTTAATTAAGCTGCACGTGTTGGTAATACACAGTATGCCACTGTATACACCCACTCGGCTGCATAAAGTTTTTAAATGCGACTTAAGGAACAATGCTGCACAAATGGGAAAGTATTACAGCTGACATGGAAAATCTGAAGTGACAGACTGGACAAGAAACGAAAATCTTTCAGAGTAAAGATGATTAGTGGCTGAGTGGCGCCGATGTGCGAAAGCTGTAATCCCAGAAAACATTTATCAGACGGTGTGAGGAAGGCATTTATTTCGAAAAATGAAATGCCTTCGTTTTTTTCTGCTTCTCTCGCTCCTTCTCCCTGTCATCCTTTTTGTCTCAATATGCTTATTAGCAAAATCATTTCGGGCTTCCATGCATGTACTTCAAGAAAGTCAAAACAACCATCCCAACAACCAACACATGTAAACATATTCACACATCCCTGCCTAATACTGCAAAACAAAAACAGGACAATATCTTCTACACAGTATGAAAAACCTACAACTTCTCTGCTTTCCCAACAAACCAAAAAGAAAGAAATATTATCTTAGAACTAGATATTCGTAGTACAGTATGTACATGAAATAACTAGTTAAAATACCAATATAGTTTATGTATATAACCCTGGTTAGTTTTTTTTTCTTCAATTTACTAGAACAAATAGAAAGACTGGCATTAATGTGGACATATAAGTAAAGCTCAGAATAGCTCATAAAGTTAGTTTTACACTTCAGAAGCCCACTCATTACCACATCAAACTGTAGAATTAGTTTTGAAATTTCCCACACATGAAATAAAAGAGGTACGATTTTAATTAGTTATCTACAGAAATAACTAGGAATCAATGCATACTAGCTTTTAGTATTTGTGCTAAGCTAAGCCAAATAAAAGATAGCTTGAATATCCGATAAAAGGATTATCACAAATTGTTAAGGCATTGAAGAGACTTTGAAAATGTTCTTAGCAGCTTTGTGGTGGAGGGTTTTACACAACCCACATGCTTTTAGAGTAAACTTAAGCTTGAAAAACAAGCCATCTTATATTTTAGATTAGCTAAGACCAAAAATGTGCTGGAAAAGTAAGCAGTAAAAAGGAGCTTGCAAAGAAAAGCGTCTGGACTTCTTTAAGTTACTTGAAGACGTTTCACCTCTCATCCGAGAAGCTTCTTCAGTTCTAAGGTTATATGGTGGAGAGTCCCAGATATAAACCTAGTGGGAGTATCCCCCCACAGAGGGACAAAAGGACCCCCTGATGATCCTCTAATCGCCTGAGTCAAGGTGTGAAACTGGGTGTGGGTCCCAATCAGCCAGAGTTTCGGGTGAGCTCATTGTGAAACTTGGCCCCACCTTATCACGCAAATTCCTGAGGTCAGATGGCCCAGGGTGTGAGTGGGCATTAAGGCGTCTGGGAAGGGATCTCAAAACTGGATTATAGATGACAGAGAGTTGGTGTCGTAAACCACCGCCTCTGTTCAAAGATGGTCGCTCACAGTGGACATAGATGGCTTCTTTCACTCCTCTTTCAAACCATCTGTCCTCTCTGTCCAAAATGTGAACATTGGCATCCTCGAAAGAGTGTCCTTTATCCTTAAAATGCAGATGGACAGCTGAGTCTTGTCCTGTGGAGGTGGCTCTTCTATGTTGTGCCATGCGCTTGTGAAGTGGCTAACTCCCACTAGGTTTATATCTGGGACTCTCCACCATTTGACCTTAGAACTGAAGAAGCTTCTCGGATGAGAGGTGAAACGTCTTCAAGTAACTTAAAGAAGTCCAGACACTTTTCTTTGCAAGCTCCTTTGACTACGATGACCTGGATGACTGAGAAGCTTCACAGACATAAGCAGTAAAAAGTTTAAGAAGTTACTGTACACATCAATAAAATCCCACAACTTAAAGCATGTGTATGTATCCTTCTGTGTTAAATCTGTACCACAGGTATGAAGGCCCTGTGTCATAAACCCTTTGGAAACCCTGTGCCGTAACCTGAGGTGTACCTTCCTAGAAATATAACTACACATCCCCACTGATGCAGCCAACACAGATTATAAACACTGGCAATAGTCTGCCTCTTGTGTAGGCTACAGTCATCAGCTCTGCGTAGACTAATGCAAAAGTATAAATTAAGCAATTAGCTTATTAAGTAGTCAGTAAGTTTAAGAAGTGCAGGTACAGTAATTTCTCTCTTTTTCCAGTTAGCTTAGCCAAGTGAATACTTAAGATTGTATTTAACTTTACCTGATTAGTGACAAATCCACAGTTGTGCACATACAGTACCAGTTGGCATGGTTTTCAAAAAATCTTACAAAAACATATGGCACATGCTGCTTGAACATATCCTTTATTAGACTGGTTACTTGACAGCTGACAAGCTGTCACTGGGTTTCATTTTCACACTAAAAGCAAACATTTGCATAGAGCTGTGAATTTTGTTTGAAACAAAAAACAAATAGGTATGAATGAACCACAAAACATATTTAAATGTAAACTATGTGTATGTAAACTAGCAAGAGTCCGACTCGTGTTTAACATATGAACTGCTAATGCAAATAAATTGAAATGAGGAGACCATGCATTAAAAATGCAAAATCAGTTCATCAGTTAAAAGAGCTGTTACTGAAATGAAATCTTTCTACTTTGTGATCTGAATCTACTACAGAGGTGATGCAATCATACAGTAACGTTTCCAAATGAAAACACATTGTGCTTTCATGTGAACTCATCACCACTGCTACTTGTTTAGAAAGAGGAGGGAGTTCAGTGAATGCTGTTAACATTTCCAACATATGACTTTGCTCCAATGGCTTTCTGTGAGCAAGATTTGGAAATGAATAAAATGAGTCCTGATTTCATCTTCTGTGTTCCACTGAAGCTCTCCTTTCTGATTGCTTTTCTAAGACACCCTAAATCAGATTTGAACGCTTGACTGAGATGATGACATTCAGGGCTACAAAACAAATGTGTAGGCATGTGCCTGGCTCTTTGTTTTTGTGCAAGTGTAAATATGTGTGGTGGCATTTTGTGAGCAAAAGTACATTTTCAGTTGTCTGAAAAGGACCTATTTTTTGCCTTGTACTGTCATTATGACAGATCTTCTTACATATACAGTAAGAATGTTTGCATGCCTTACTGAACCTTACTCCAGGAATAACATACTCTCCAACATGACTGCAATGATTTTACATGCTTATTCTGTCCGACACAGTACAAAAACCTCACATTTTCAATCACCCTCTCTCTCCCCATGTCTCTTCTCCAGCCCCACTTAAACTGAAATGAAGCCCTGTGGAACAAAAAGGATGTTGTGTTAAACTTTGGATGGGCTCTCCATTAAAACCTTCTTGGCACAGTCAAGCCTGTCTTCACAGTACAACAGTTGCACAGCATACAACAATGAGGACATGGTGTCTGGAAACCCAATATAAACAGATAATATAGATAAAATATTAGGAGGTATTTTGAAAGACTAAATCCATAGATCAAGTCAAGCTTCTCGGGCTACTTGCACAGGACCTGTATTAAACGGAGGCTGCAGTAATTCATAGATTACTCATCAAACTCTGTGGTGGTTACATTTTGTTTTCACACAGGAAAATGAAACGGGAAACTCTTGCTGTCTGTAAACCCAAAGTTTAGTAAATTGTTTATCGATTTAGCAACGGAGATGCGAAGAGACCCGAGTATTCCAGACCTTCTTCTGTGGCGTAGAGTGAAAAAAATAATATACAATTTGCACAGGATAGCGTCCTCATTTCACCCAAAACTCTCTTCTCCCATCCTCCACTTCATCCTGTCCAATACCTCCTCCAGTTTCCATAGGAACCTTTTAATGACTGGGATCACCTGCTCCTGTTGCTCATGCCGTTGTATTTACTTAAAGAGGATGTTTTATACTCATTTCACGCTTCACTTTCATTTTTGGGTTTTAAGGGAGTAGCTTTGTTTGATTTACAATTCAACCTAATTTCTATTTATCTTAGACCCTCTGTGCAGCTCTATCATCATCCACTATATGAAGGCAGTTGTCTTGTCCTCCCTTTATGTTTACCTTCCTCTGATTGGCTACCCCTCCTAAGCAGAAGGTCTGAATAGGCGGAGCTGCTGTGCTCGTGACCAAATACCATTTTTTTTCTGTCTTTCATCATCAAACAATTTTGTCAATAGTGTCTAAAAATTAGTCGAACCAGGCAGCGCTAGTGTGATCTATAATGAATTAAGTAATTAGTGAATTACAAATGAATAATAATTTTATAATGTTTAATTTAATGTACAGTGTATCAAATGTATAATC